TACAATTGTTGTATGAATGTTGTTGAAGTTGATTTTTGTTCGTCGCTATATAACAAAACACTTAATGCCTGTTCCCTCGGGAAATAGTTAGTTTTGTTTTCCCTCGAATCTTAACATTGAGATTCTCGGGAAAACAAAACTAGCTATTTCCCTCGGGAGCAGACATTAAGTGTATAATGTACGTAGCCGGTCGGAACGGGCAACAGTTTTTCACTCCGGCAGGATACATTGCATTTATCTAAATCCACGTGACCACAAATCAGCCAATCAGGTTTAGTTTCAGCACTAGCTATACTTAATAATGATTCAAAATCTGTCCAAGATTGACTCACTATATGTAATATGTTATATTACTACCAACCTTTATCTATGGTAGGATATGTTCGTTGCATTCCAAACCACTTGCTTTCTTTGCCAATAATCCCTTTCTCAACAAAATAATCCAGAACAACTGAAACACAGTTTTTGTCAGCATCTCCTATGACACAATATTCGATCCAGTTTTGTAGGTACTTCATTTTTCCACGCTCATGCACTTCGATCATCTCACTGAAACCAGCTGCATCCAGAAATGAACCAGTTTTTGTAGCGTCCCGTACCTAAATAGTATAAACATGTTTCACGACACAAATATCCGTCATTTTACGAGAACAAATACTGGCAATTCACGGCTGACAAAAATACCCTTTAGCACCCTCAAAAATAGTGTACTTCCTAAACTGCGAAAAATGCAACATTAAAGTGAATGGAGATAGCTACCAAAAATCCTGATATTTAACAAAAATAATGTAATTGATTAGGCTAGAACACTGAAATTAACTCATTTACAATAATTATTTGTTAATTATACCACATTATGCTAGATAGAATCGTTTACTGATGTAATTTGTTCATTTTTTTCAATTTGAAAATGGGAGATCGAAACGTTTCAGTCCGCGACAATTTTATTCGTCAAAAAGAAAGTGTAGGGTATTTAATCTGTGGACCATAATGTCTGCCCTAGTCTAAACAGTCCTGGAAACTTAACGTCTTTGAAAATTATTGCAGGTCCTTGAAAGTCCTGGAATTTCATCCACTCGCACTTATAGGGACGAAATATGACCTGATACTTGAACACATTCATCATTACCTTTATCACTGCTTGTACACATTCATCCGTTAGTTTTCCTCTTACTTCTATATCAATCTTGCCAGCAGCCCAAAGATCCAATATAACAGAAGCATAAGCGCAAGAGATCAATTTGATCGACGTTTTTCTTCCATTCACTGTTCCAAGACGTCGATGATGCCACAATAAGCAATAAGCTTCGCATAATTTCATTTCTCTCTTTGTTATACTGTTCTTGTCAAGCTTCGATAATATTTGACAAATAAAGTTGTTCACTTTTCTCGGTATATTCTCTGATTCTCCAGAACTACTGCCCAAGGCCGCGGCAACACCTCCTGCAACACCACCGGCTGCTGCTGCCATGATCTGTTTCAATGCTTAGAAAGATAAAATATAATATATAATAAAACATATATAAATAAATAAACATCCTAGTCTACGACCTGTATAGGAGTTTGTATAGAATAGAATAATTTATTTAATGTCGAATGACACAGAGTGTGATTGCTCAATCATTAGACTTAGACTTACTCCAAGTCTCTCTTTCAGTCTTTCGTTGTCATATAGTATCGATCCACCACAGTGTACATTACATGACGTAGTACGGAGGGGCGGAGCGAGAAAGAGAGACTTGTCAACTTCGGAAAATCTCGGTTCAAAACTGAACCGAAAATGCAAGACTTGCTTTAATTGTTTTCCTTCAATTTCTTTCTGTATTATTTACTATAATGGAACTCATGTTATTTACACTGTGCTAGATCAATACATATAAACACTGACAGAAAACAATTAAAGCAAGTCTTGCATTTTCGGTTCAGTTTTGAACTGAGATTTTCCGAAGTTGACAAGTCTCTCTTTCTCGCTCCGCCTCTCCGTGCTACGTCATGTAATGTACACTATAGTGGATCGATACTATATGACAATGAAAGAGAGACTTGGAGCAAGTCTACTCAATCACTCGAGCCAGGGGCTCATGATAGAAGTGCTCGACGTGCTTATTGTGATCTACCAAATCATAAGCTTTTCTAAAATCAAGAAATATAATCCGCATTAACTTGCCAGGCGTCCCCATGGCCAAATACCATTTATGTATAAGGTTGACAATTACGGCCAACACAGCAGATGATCCCGGTAACCCGTCATTTTGCGATTCATTGATGTTCGCCCCTACATCCTGATTGATCCATTCTATAGCATACGACTCCTGTATTAAGACAAGACGCTGGTAAGAGAAATTGGTCTCAGGTCCTTTACAGCGGAGCATGGTGTAACCTCTGGAATTGCGCGAATGTTATGTTTCCATATTTTTGGGAATATTCGTGACCTGGACGATCCATTGAAAATGTTTGTTAACGGAATAGCAAAATTCTTGGCAAACATCGATCTTCAGCACTTTAATATTGGGATCGTACGGCCCATGCACTTGCCTTCCCAACACTAAGTCCTTTTAACTTCTTTTCTACACTTTCTTCCCTAATAACTGGCAAAGACTCGGAGGAACCACCGTCTAACCACTTATCCTGCACTTCGATAAAATCCTCTGTCAGTTAGGCTTGCGAAAAATTCATTTATATGTTCCGAAGCTTGCTTCTCGTCCATAGGATGTTCCGTTTCCGGATCAAACAGTGTAATAGCCTGTATCTTTTTCCCAACATTCTTCCATCAAACTTGAGGATTTTTAAAGATAAAAATCACCGAAAAAACTTACCAGAAATTTTAATAGCAACAATGCGGTTTCTCTTTGCAACTAGCTCAATTTGCTCTGGAGCATCTGTAAATGAAATAAAGCGGCCTCTTGAGAAGAGAAATGGGTTTCGCATATATATATATATATAACCAACAATGAGATGATGGATGTGGGACACATAAATTATATATGCGACAAGAACGCCATTCAACCTAATACGCATGATCTCTGCATGTCACAGATTTAAATCAGCGCAAAGGCCTATAGGCAATTGTGGCCCAAGCTCACTACCAGCAACTGCGGACAGCTGTTTTGCCCTTTTGGGGCTCGTCAGCGCAGTGTAGCTGATAGTGAGCTTTTCATCCGAAATGCGCTGTGTAGCGCAGCGCAGTGTAGCTGATAGTGAGCTTTTTTTCGCGGGTTATGTAGTGGCAGGCATACTCTGGGAACTAGATTATTGGTACCCAGAGCAATGCCTTTGCGCGGGCTAGGAAGGCATTGGCTCTGGGGAAATTGAATTTTTCCTGTGCTGTGAATTGGCTTAACGTTTATCAATAGTGCATACCGACAAAGAACCGGAACCCCTAAATTTAGGGGTTCCGGTTGTCAATATCCCCAGAGCCCATGCCATCCTAACCCGCGCACAGGCATTGCTCTGGGTTACGAGATGAAAGAGAGCCTGTTCGCAGGCTATACGAGATTGTACTTTCAGTTTAATTTTTGAAAACTTCCGAAAGTTTTTGAGCGATGGGATTTAGTAACTTTTGGCGCCAAACGCTGTGAATAATTAATTGATATCAATAAGTCAATAGAAGGTCATAGAAAGAAAGGCACTGAACTTGTAAACTCATAACAAACATTTAATTTTAAACAGTATAATAGCCTGTGTTTTTTTAGCTAACCATCATCTTTGTTAAATGATCGGATAGGAAAGCTGTGTATTCGGTGAGTATACATAATAATTTTGCGATGTCTGTGCGACGAAACGTGCTATTTCGAACTTTTCTCAGTCATATAAAAGCCTGTGGTGCTTAAAACTGTATTAATTTCATACGATGGATACTGCTATAAATAGACGAGTCACAATTTTTTCCCGTGGGCCGTGACGTTTGCGATTTTGTCAGCCTTATGTATTTTCAGTCCAATATGTCGTGAATCTTGGTCGGTATTTTTTACCTTTTACTATATGCAGCACCGAGGGGTAAATTCTATCGGGATTCTGGGATATTTTTTTTGCCAAAATTTAAGGGATTTTCGGATTTTTTTTCCCGATTCTTTTCGAAATATTTTCCCTTTTTTTATTCGCCGAACTTTTCCCGCAATATTTTGCGACATGATAATCCGTCCAATTATTTTTAAAACGAAGCAAATCAACGAAGGGCGTTTTCACGCCAATTCACGATTTAAATTTTTAAATTTTTGAGGATTTTATTGGGTTTTTTCCAAGTATTGTGTTCCATTTTTAGAGATTTCTTGGGATTGTAGGATTTAGTAAGATTTTGGGATTTTTCCAAAGATTTTTTTTGATTTTTGACCTAATTTGATGAAGTGTATATGTTTCCTCAGAACAGAGACGACTGGTTAGCAAAATCCATATAAACACACATGCACACGCAAAGGAAATATCGCAAATCGTATTATTGATAAATTATTAATAACGAATCATTAAATATACCAAGGTACAATTCGATCTATATAAAATAAATAAAGTAATTAAATAATATTTAGATATCGTAACTTAAATCCAATATTACTAGGCTATATGTGTCAATAAACTGTTCGAAAATGTCTTACTTCTGTGGCGATATTCCTTAGATAATAGTGCATCCAACTTAGTTCCTGGTTAGCCGTATATTTTTAACAAAACTATGTATTTATTTCCCTTAAATATAAACCTAAACAGTTCGATCTGTATTTCATTGTCTGATGCAATCGTTAAGTGCAAAGTTCACTTCCGGCGTTCGTGCGGTTCACGTGAATACCACGCTACCGATCCACTCTCCCCCCGCGATGAGGATACCTCCTCATCCCATAACTTTAATACTTATCTCCGTGTCCTTCTGCCGGATATATTACTGCGATCTTGGTGATAGGCCTTTCATAGTATGAGGTTGCCGTCTTCACTTTCAGGTTGCGTATTTTTCCATCCTTTCCAGGAAACACGTTAACAACTCTGCCAGTAATCCAATTTCCACGAACGGCATTCGAATCTTGAACGACTACGATATCATCAACTCTGACATTTCTTCTCTCGACCTTCCATTTTTTCCTCGGTACTAGTGATGGAAAAACATCTCTGTACCAAAAACTATCGATAACCTTCTGAATAAATTCAACACGGTGTCGTGGGTTTTTCGTCTCTCGGAATGGTCCCTGCGGTACCACAGTTGACGCTCGACCAAGAAGAATATCATTGGGACACAGGAAACTTCCATCATCTGGGTCGTTGGGAATCCTTCCAATAGGCCTTTGATTTATCAGGTTAGCAGCTTCCAGCAAGTATGTGTATAGTTCAAATGGGGTCAAAACTTGTTCACCAATGGCGGTCTTCAGGGCTTTCTTTGAACTCTTTACCATCGCTTCGGCGCATCCGTTGTGGTGGGGCGCGACTGGAGTTATGAACTTCCACTCCATTCCTTTCTCAGCGCTGAATTCCTTTAACTCTTTTTCATTCCATCCCTTTATCATCTCTCGGAGTTCACGCTCTGCTCCTACCAGTTGAGTACCGTTATCAGAGATCATCAATGCTGGTTGTCCTCGTATTGCGAAGAATCTGCGTAGCGTTTGTAGGAATTCCATTGTGGAGTAGTCGACTGCGATTTCCAGATGCACGGCTCGGGTATTCAAGCAAGTAAAGAGAACGCCATAATGCTTCGTCGTCTTGCTTCGACCTATCTTAACGTGGTATGGACCGAAGTAATCGCATGCCGTGCGATGGAATGGTGGTGTAAGTGGCTCCAGACGGGTAATTGGTAAATCTGACATGAACTGCTGTTCGACTTTCGCTTGAATTCGGCGGCAGTCTACGCATTGAAACTTTACCGACTTAGCAAGATCATGACATCGAATAATCCAATACTTTTTCTTGATTTTTGCGACGGTTGTTGCAACTCCTGAATGGCCAATTTGGTGGTAATATCGAGTAATCAGAAGAGACGTCCAGTGTTCACGTGGGAGTAATACCGGGTGCTTAGCGTCGTAAGAGATCACTGCTTTGTTTACGCGTCCTCCAACTCTGATAATACCCTCTTTGTCGATGAATGGCGTTAGTCCTTTAAGTTCTCCCTTTCTCAGGCGAGCGTGTAGTGACTTTTGACTTTGCTTTATCCAGTACGATTCTGCATCTTGCAACTCTTTCGCGGAAGTCGGTTCAACCTCGGGT